TGCTATTATAATTTTTTATACCCACGTGACTTTACCGAAAGAACCAAAGAGTTATGGATTCCTGCAGTCACGAAAGCTTCAAATCAAGATTGAAACGTTTTCAGCTTCGTTCACGGTGCTTGTGCGCTGTTTGTCGAGAGAGAGAGATAAAAAAACTAACAATTCTTCTCGCAAAGCAGTTGCTTTTGCACCGATTGCTATTCGCTGAGATGTTGTATTGAGCAGCAGTGCGAGCCACTCCCTGCACCTCACCCTTGCAATTGGGGTGGGGGGAGAAAGGGGTTTCTAGGTACTAAAACTGCAGTGAAGTGTGGCGCGCTTATCTTACCGATAACGAGCCAATGGCTCAGTGGTCAGACCAACCTCCACGGTAGGAACTGGTGTCAAGGACGTCGGCTGGCACGCCTTTGTGTTTGCACACCGCAGCAGTTTTATGGCTGAGCCGATCTAGGGGAGAGCAATACGACTCGCCGCCGATGTTATCGACTCGAGCCCTGATTGTCTGGGATTTGATTTCAACAGAATGTTCGGTGCCGAGCGCCGTTCGCGAGTGGCACCGATGAAGGACGTCACGGAACACGAGGGGTGGTGTTGTCAACATCTCACGCCCGGCCGCCTTTGTCTCCCCGGTGCTGTTAAGTAGCCGCACCTCAAATCAACACCGGCCTCATTGGAGGCTGAGTCGACCTAGGGGAGGCCCAGAACCGGTTAACCATTGACTGAGAAAGCAGTCAATGGTCAGTGGCGATGTTTACACACCGACACTCCATTGAGGCTGAGTCGACCTGTGGTTCAGATCATCGTCACCGGTGTTAATGGGCGCGAGCGGTAATCGAACTCGGCCCGCCGGGTGCGTAGCGCAGCGCGCTCACCACTGCGCCACCGCCCCCCCCCCCCCGCCCCCGAGGCAATAAGCCCGCAAGTTCCTCCACTGCGTCAGCGGCGTCCTCACGAGCACTCCGCAGCAAGCCGAGGCAGTTCACGAATCGGCGGCGGTGGGGACACACGAACCCAGAGAAGGCGACGTGGGGACCCCCTCCACCCCCCCGACTTTACCACCCCCCACTACTTCTCCCTCCCCCTACTCCCAGCCCCCCCCCCCCCCGCCGTCGCTCCCTTCACCACCACCACCACCCACCCCATTCCCGTCCGTAGCCCCTCTCGATTCACGCGTCGTCACCTCCACACAAAGGGCGCGGGGAGGAGGAGGAGCAGGCAGGCAGGCAGGGTCCATCACGATTCTATCCGAACACAAAGTGGCCTCTGTCTGCTGTCGCGCCTCTGGGAGCGCTCCATCCCCCCCACCCCCCACCCCCCACACTTTTTTTGTAGAAACCTTCTTCTGCATCTCGCTCCCTCTCCTCGCTCTCCGCCTTTCTCTCTCGTTCGTTCATTCATTGGCCCGCTCGCTCGCTCAGTCTTTATTTGTGTACGCAGGGGGATATTTTCATTATTTATCTATCTCACTTCGCCCCCGTTTGTTGTTTGGCTTCGTTTATTTATTTACTTTCTCACTCCGTCGTCTTCTTCGTCGTCTTAGTCTCGCGCACGCGCACGCCCGGCTAAAGCTCATTTAGTTTGGTTTGTGAGGGTGGGTGGGTTGGTGGGGGGTGGGTGGGTTGGTGGTGGGTGGGTTGGTGGGAGGTGGGTGGGTTGGTGGGAGGTGGGTGGGTTGGTGGTGGGGGGTGTGTGGGTTGGTGGGGGGTGTGGGTTGATGGGAGGTGGGTGGGTTGGTGGGGGGTGAGTGGGTTGGTGGGTGGGTTGGTGGGGGTGGGTGGTTGGGTTGGTGGGGTGTGTGGTTGGTGGGAGGTGGGTGGGTTGGTGGGTTGGTGGTGGGTGGGTTGGTGGGTTGGTGGTGGGTGGGTTGGTGGAGGGTGGGTTGGTGGGAGGTGGGTGGGTTGGTAGAGGGTGGGTGGGTGGGTGGGTTGGTGGGAGGTGGGTGGGTTGGTAGGGTTGGGTGGGTGGGTGGGTTGGTTGGTTGGTGGGTGGGTTGGTAGGTGGGTTGGTGGGGGGTAGGTGGGTTGGTGGGTTGGTGGGTGGGTTGGTAGGTGGGTTGGTGGGGGGTAGGTGGGTTGGTGGGGGTGGGTGGGTTGGTGGGTGGGTTGGTGGGGGTGGGTGGGTGGGTTGGTTGGTGGGTTGGTGGGTGGGATGGTGGGAGGTTGGTTGGTGGGTGAGTTGGTGGGTGGGTTGGTGGGGTTGGTGGGGGTGGGTGGGTGGGTTGGTGAGTGTGTTGGTGGGTTGGTGGGTTGGTGGGTTGGTGGTGGGTGGCCGTGACTTCAACTCCTCAGCGTCGCTGCGCTGCGAACCCGGCGGAGGTCCCGGTTCGATTCCCGCTCACGGCCACCGGCACCAATGACGACGTGGGCGGAGTTTGGGAGGGGCATGGGGGGCAATGCCCCTCCCCTCCCTCGCAAACTGGGCACCTTTATTAATTCGTCTTCAGCAGTTTACAATTAAGATTTTAAAATAAACAAAATAATTATGTGCGCCCACGATTCCTCATATGAGGTTCAAAGCGAACTCCCACCCCTGAAATGTAAAAGTCAAACTCTGCCTATGAGTGACGATTATATCCGAACCGGGTCCGGGGCTTCCTCCCCAAGGTCGACTCAGCCTCAAATGAGTACCTGGCCACGCTACGTAGTAAAACATCGCCACTGGGAGAGACAAAGGCGGCCGGGCGTGGTGCTGCCCCCCCCCCCCCCCCCCCCCGCTAGCAGCACTTGCTCCCAACAGCACGGGGGAGATCTTTGTCTTCATCTCAAACACCGACAATACTTTCATCGGCAGCACAGCTGTGTATCCGTGCACTGCCGGGTCAATTCCGTTCGACCCACTGCTGGACCACTCGTTGAGTCAATCTGCTGCTGGGTCAATAATCACCGTACGTAGTAGTAGTAGTAGAAGTAACAATCCATACTCTTTGGTTTCATATTCTTAGGTTTTTTCGGTGAAGTCATGTAGGTAAATAAATTAAAATTTATAAAAGTAAAATAAAAAATAAAATAAAAATCACGACGTTTCGGAGGCAACACAAGCTTCCGTCTTCAGGTGGAACCGTCACAGCACGATAGCTGTATCAAGTGAGTTGCCTCCGAAACGTTGTGATTTTTATTTTATTTTTATTTTACTTTTATTTATTTAAATTTTTTACCTACGTGACTTTACCAAAAAAACCTAAGAATATGAATCCTTGCAGTCACGAAAGCTTCAAATCTAGAACTCTTTGGTTTTTTCGGTAAAGTCAATTAAGTAAAAAATTTAAATAAATTAAATCACGACGTTTCGGGCGCAACACAAGCGTCCTTCTTCAGGTGGGGGACAACTTAGCGAAAGCACAACCGCTTAAGTGTGTCTCTAAGCTGGGAGAGAGACGCGAAAACTTCAAATATATAGTAGGCATCAGGGTCGGCATCAACCCCACGACCTCCTGAATACCAGGCGAGGTCGTAAACATCTCGCCACCGTGGCGCCCAATTAGTTTCGACTTCAGCACCACCGCTGTGTTGGAGAGCAACCCACAAGAACACTTACAACTTGAGTTCACCACGTTATCGCCGGTGATTACAATAACAACCAGCATCACCAGGCGATTGCCAACATTGTGAAGTGCTCTGCGTGTTTTTTTTCTTAAGTACGGTCGGGTGATTTCATCACTGTGCACCTACCAAGTACGCAGAACCCAGGGGTGTTGATGTAATCCATATGAATAACAATATATTATGTTATGATAATTGTTTTTTTGCTTTTTTTCTGGCAACAAAACTGACACCTTTTGTACAAGGAGTCATGTTTGCATTGACCACAATACCTGCAGTCGGAATGCAAACAAAAAACATAACTCTGATAATGTATGCACTGTCCTTGAAATTGATTGGCTCTAAAAAAAGCTGTCTCGGGTGTGGACCAATCAACTTCAAGGACAGTGCATACATTATCAGAGTTGTGTTTTTTTTTTGCATTCCGACTGCAGGTATTGTGGTCTATGCAAACATGACTCCTTGTAAAAAAAAAGATGTCAGTTTTGTCGCCAGATAAAAGGGTAAAAAACCAATTATCATATTTTGTTACTGGCAAAATGAGGTTCCAATGGAATATATTATGTTGGTTGGCTACGTACGGTGCGAACGAAGTTCAACGCACATACATTTAGTGCACGTTACCTGTCGGGTTATTCACACTTAATCAGCACGACGTTTCGGCCACAACCCCCCCTTCCAACCCAGCTTATATATATACTCCAAGCACGTGTGCTGTTTCATTCAGACGCTGTCGCCTCGACAGACCTGGTTTTCACCTGAGGACGGCTGCTTGCGTTGTGGCCGAAACGTCGTGAGAATTATTTTATTATCTTTTATTTTTTATTATTTGATCACTTCCCTTCTACGTGACTTTACCGAAAGAACCAAGAAGATTAATCAGCATTATTGGAGACCAGCATGTCGCACGAGAGGGTGGGGTGGCCAGCACCACGGCCGGCCGCCTTTGTCTCCCCATTGGCGACATTTACACAGCGCAGCAGGTAGCTGGTTTGAAGTTGAGTCAACTTACACACACACAACGACAACCGCCGCCATTCGCCACTAAGTGGCGGTGACGTCACCGCGGCGTTTGTGCCACGCAATGCCACGTGAAGTGTCTAACGCCCGCTGGCAGGAGGGCACGGGGCAGACCCAGGCGCCGTGGGTTGACTGACTGAGATGACACGCACAAAGACAAAGATCCCGCGTATAGCCTTAACAGGCTGTTGGGGCAAGTGCTGTTAGCGAGTAGCACTTGTGAAGGCCAGAACGGCACACGAGGGGGTGGATGGCCAGCACCACGTCCAGCCGCCTTTGTCTCCCAAGTGGCGATGTTTTTACGCACCGCACCAGGTGCTCATTTCAGGCTGAGTCGACCTCACACATGTACGCATACGCACACGCACTCACACGCACGCACACGCACGCACACACGCGCGCAGTCTCACGATCAGTTTGACGCGCGCAACGTGGACAAACCTTTTGGCGCCTGTGTCGTGGTGACCATCGGAGTCGGCTCGGCATGAGGGATTCCTGCAGCAGCAGCAGCAACAACAACAACACGAACAACAACAACAACAAGAATCATGTCAACTCGCAACACTGGACTCCCACCCCCACCCTTACTCCCCGCCACTGTTGCGTGGCATCTGCACGCTCTCGTAGACACAAACACACAGAGAGAGAGGGGGCGACGATTCAGAGGCGTTAGGAGGACTCACAGATGAGCGGGGAAAGGCAACAGCCAGGCGGAGCAGCCAGTATCAAAAACTGCCTAAGCTCGGCGGCCCTCTATGCATCAAGATGTTTTTCAGCCAATTAACGAGTGTTAGTACACATGGGATGGAACCGGAGCGCCCGGAGAGAACCCGCGCGCGTGAGGGGGCAACGCTCAATCCCCCCGTTACAGATAGAACAGGTGGAGCCCACGGTTTTTGTTTTTCTTCCTGCACCGACTTTTCTTGGCGAGCCGAGATACGGCTCCTCCTGCGCCCACGAGAAGCGAGGTTCCCAACCATCTGTGTGTGATCCATCAACCCTTGCTGCTGCCTCCGCAGCTCTGCATTGCAGCTACGGAAACCCGACGACCCGAGTTCGAGTCCCGCTCACGGCCATCAATACCGGTCCTGCGCCTCCCCTAGGTCGACTCAGCCTCAAATGAGCACCTGCCGTGGTGTGTACAACGTCGCCGCTGGGGTGACAAAGGCGGCCGGGCGAGTGTGCCTGCCGCCTACCCACTTCATGTGCCGTAAACCGGCCTTCGTTCGGTGGTGCTGCTTGCTAACAGCACAGCAACTGGCCCCAACAGTCCGTTAAGGCTACACGGGGGACCTTTGTCTTGTGTATGTGTGTGCATGTACGTGACATCAGGTACTAATTTCAGGCTGAGTCGACCTAGGGGAGGCCCGGGACCGATTCCAAAGGCGGTCGGGCGTGGCTGCTTGCCACCCACCCCCTTTGTGTACCGTGCCGGCCATCATAGGTGCTACTTGCTATACAGCACTTGCCCCCTCCAGTCCGTTGAGGCTACACTGGTGACCTTTGTCTTTGTGTGTGTGTGTGTGCACGTACGTATGCAGGGTGCGACGGGCGAGCGGCTCTGCTGGTAGTCGCGCGCACAGCGGTTGCAGGTGAGCCCCGTGACCCCGTCCTTGCACGGGCACTGCCCGCTCGTCTGGTTGCACGTCTTGCCCGAGGAGCCCACCGGATGGCAGTCGCAAGCTGGCAAGGGGGCAACCCACATCGTCGTCATCATCGTCGTCATGGTGAACGTCACTGACATTGTCATTGTCGTCGTCATCATCATTGTCGTCAACCTCGTTGTTGTAATCTTTGAAGTCATCACCTTCATTACCATAATTAACATTGTGATCCTCGTCATCATTATAATTATCATCAACATTGTCAACATTATATTATTGGTTCTTTCGGTAAAATCACGTAGAAGGGAAGTAATACAATAATAAAATATAAAACAATAAAAATTATCACGACGTTTCGACTGCAACACAAGCAATCGTCATCAGGTGTGAAATCCACAGCAACATCGTTATCAACATCGTCATCAACATGGTCATCAACATTGCCATCATCACCATTTTCTTTATCTATTACTCAAATATTTAACCTGGAAGTTTCCCTTGAGATGGAACATCTCGCTTTGCAAGGTAGGCCCAGGTTTGTCAATTGGGAAACACGTAGCAGATATAATTAATGTTGTCGCTTTTTAACAACAATCATCGCTATCATTGGCAAACAACAGCGCACAACACTTGTAAATAATTAATAGATTTTTTTCCCACCGGATTGACAAAGAATGGCCCCATATGACTCTGACACTGTGACGTGTGCTCAACCGCCATTTTAGAAAATACCCACACTCCTTTGCAAAGCGCTGTGACGTCACTTCTATAGGGGTGTTACCAGATGTTGCCACCGTAATAACCTATGTTGTGGGAGTTATGCATTTATAATTGTACTTACTGTCACTGTACTTACTACTGAAAGACTCAAAGAATACCACGCAATACGCTCAGCATCAGTCGGTGGTTATTGACGAAGCAGTGGTAACGCTTGTGCTTTGCAGCTAATAAGTCCCTAGGTTCGAATTCCTACTAGGGTGCCTTTCTGTGTGGAGGTTGTATGTTCTGCCCCTGTTCTGCAGCGTGTGAGTGTGATAGTGTAGTGATTAGCGCGCTGCGCTATGAACCCGGCGATCCGGCTTCGATTGCCGCTCACGGCCAACACTGGTGACGAATATCTGAACCGGTCCTGGGCCTCCCTTAGGTCGACTCAGCCTCAAATGAGTACCTAGTGCGGTGTGTAAACATCGCCACTGGGGAGACAAAGGCGGTCGGGCGTGGTGCTGGTCACCCACCCCCTCGTGTACCGTTCTGTTAAGGCTATACGGGGGATCTTTGTCTTTGTCTTTTTTTTTAACGAGGAGCGGTAGTCTAGCGGTTAGTCCTCTGCACACACGGCCAACACCGTTGGCTGAATCGACCTCTCCTAGGTCGACTCCGCCTCAAACGTAGCACCTGGTGCGATGTGTAAACATCGCCACTCGGGAGACAAAGGCGGCCGGGCGGGCGTGGTGCTGGCCACTCACCCCCTCGTGTGCTGTTGCGGCCTTCATTCATTCGGTGCTGCACTCTAACAGCACTTGCCCCAACAATCTGTTAAAGGCTATACCGGGGGGGGAATCTTTGTCTGTGTTGTTTGGTGTTGACCACAGCACTTCCCCGCGTGACGTGCCGGCCTTGACAGGTGCTCGCCGACAGCACTTGCCCCAATGGTCCGTGCGGCTACAGGGGGCATCTTTGTCTTTGTTTATCGTCTCGTGTTGCCCCTTGAGGTGTGAAAGCGATTTTTACGGAGAAACCTCCCACCCCCACCCCCCCCGAGCCGCTACCCCCACCCACACCACCATAACTATTTTAACGGGCGGCGATAACGTGTATCGAACTTTATCGTCAACACCTCGGCTATCTTGCGGACTACAAAGGAGACTTTGAGAGAGTGGAGAGGAAGGGGTGGATGGGTGGGTGGGTAGGTGGGGAAGCCTGAGATTAGGGGGGGGGGGAGGGGCCGAGAGGAGTGGAGGGGGGGGGCAACTCGTACTTGAGTCAGGCCAGGCCAGGTGAGATTTGACGAAGCCAACTGGATTATTTCCGGCACCTTTTGGGTAAACATTGCCCGCGGAGGATGCATTGGATCGCGTGGCAGCATAGGGTGGTCAAGCTGAATTGTTTTCTTTTTTTCGACCATGCTTCCCCAAGCCGGTCGGTGCGATTTACCCAACGATGCTACTACTACTTTGCAGTTTTTTTCCAGGATTTTTCTGTTGCGTGTAGTCACTTGAAGATGTTTTCTTGTTCATGTTTATGTTTTGTTGCGGTTGCAGCCGAGTCTAGAGCCGCATGGCTCACAGGGTTATCTCCATTTTTATAAAAAAAAAAGGCAAAGTTGTGATTATGTGTGTCTGTTCAAAATGTTTAGCGTACTTCCCGACATGCAACAAACTGGAAATTTGCCACGTGGGTACTTTCCAGACTGTACACCATGCAAAAATGATAAAAATACAAAAAAATGTTTGAGGAGGGGGGGGCTCGATGCATATATTTTTTTGCACGGCAAGTGAGCTGTGACGTCACATCTGTCACGTGACCCGCACATGTGGAAGCGTAACGCATTGTAGTGTAGCGGGTAGCGCGCTGCGCTACGAACCCGTTGACCCGAGTTCGATTCCCGCTCACGGCCACCACCGGTGACGATTATTTGAACCGCTCCTGGGCCTCCCCTAGGTCGACTCAGCCTCAAACGAGTAACTCTTGTGGTGTGAACATCGCCACTGAGGAGACAAAGGCGGCCGGGTGTGGTGAATCCAAGTCCCGGGCGAAGCCGGGGTAGTACAGCTCGTACCTAATGAATGAAACTGAAAACTGAAACATCGCAGCTTGCACGAACGCTCTTCTTTGTTCTTTGCTCGTCAAAGTGAGCGACAGGGTTAGTCAGCTCATGCAGCGACCAACTAATTGTCCTCGCCCCGGCATGCACCGCTGCAGGCGGCTCGCGGCGTTCCAATGACCACCTACTAGGCCAACCCGCCCGGCTCGCCAATCCGAGCCCGGCGTTCCACGGCGGTGCACGTGACTTGGCATTACTGCTGCTAGACAGTTCGATTTAAAGGTTTCGTGACTGCAGGGATTCATCTTCTCGGTTCTTTCGGTAAAATCACGTGGAAGGGAAATAATAAAAGAATAATGTAAAAAAAATCCTTATTTTTTTTATTATTTCCCTTCTACGTGACTTTACCGAAAGAACCAAGAAGATGCTGCTAGCCAGTTTGACACAGTTTGACACGGAGGATTTCGCGACCGACATCATCTATCATATAAACGGCTGTGTCGGGTGGTGGCGGGTTTAACGACAGATTTAAATGTACGTGATCTAACCCCCCCCCCAAAAAAACTGTGTTATGGAATACCGCTACCCGCTACAATTCCGCTCCCCACCACCACCATCACCACCCACACGCACACCAGGGACCCAGCTCGCGGTCCTTGAAGTTAAACTATAAACTATATAACAAAAATAAACGCATTTTATTTTACCAGTTCAAGGCCCCACTTGAGCTGGGTAGCTCTTTTTGCAGAAGCGACGCGCCCACAAATGATCGCTCAACGAAGTGGGGCTCACCGTCACGTCCATCGCAGCAGCCGCCGAATACTCTAAAACGCGCGACGCTGACGCGGGGGGGGGGGGGGAAGCCGGAGGAGCCGGAGAAAAATTCCACTCGACTACGGGGAGACGGAAAAAGAGAGAAACACGCAAACTGCAAATATACAGCAGCAGGCGTCAGGGTCGGGATCGAACCCACGACCTCCTGCAGACCAGGCGAGGTAGTTAACATCTCCTAGCCACCGTGATCATGATGAGAGAGAGACGCGCAAACTCCAAATATACAGCAGCAGGCGTCAGGGTCGGGATCGGGATCGAACCCACGACCTCCTGTATACCACGCGAGGTAGTTAACATCTCCTAGCCACCGCGATGATGATGAGAGAGAGACGCGCAAACTGCAAATATACAGCAGCAGGCGTCAGGGTCGGGATCGAACCCACGACCTCCTGCACACCAGGCGAGGTAGTTAACATCTCCTAGCCACCGTGATGATGATGAGAGAGAGACACGCAAACTGCAAATATACAGCAGCAGCAGGCGTCAGGGTCGGGATCGAACCCACTAACCTCCTGTAGACCAGGCGAGGTAGTTAACATCTCCTAGCCACCGTGATGATGATGAGAGAGAGAGACGCGCAAACTGCAAATATACAGCAGCAGGCGTCAGGGTCGGGATCGAACCCACGACCTCCTGTACACCAGGCGAGGTAGTTAACACCTCCGAGCCCCAGTGGTGCCCTGGTGGTTAACACCAAATAAAAACATGTTTTACTCCTCCTCCCTCCTCCTCCTCGGAGGTCCAAGGTCGACCGTCGGGCCCGACGTTTACTGCACCCGGAGACGTTCCCGAGATGGAGGCGGCGGGGGAGGGGGGTGTGGGGAGGGGGGGGGCGTGGGGGGGGGTCTCGCGTGGCGGAGGGGGCTGTGAGGGGGGAGCAAGAGGCGCGTTCTCGGCCTTTTACGATCGGTGGGGGGTGGGGTGGGGGTGGGGGGGGTTAGGGGGGTAGCGAATTTCTGAGAGCGGGGACCTCACCCCGGACGAGAGAGTGACAGAGTGAGAGAGTGAGTGAGAGAGTGACAGAGTGAGAGAGTGAGAGTGAGAGGTGAGGAGAGAGTGTGAGAGGTGAGAGTGAGGTGAGAGAGAGTGAGAGGAGCGAGCGAGAGAGTGACAGGAGTGAGAGAGAGAGAGTGGAGAGAGAGAGAGTGATGAGAGAGTGACAGGTGAGAGGAGAGCGTCCACGACCCCGGTGCGTGTGTGGTCGGAACTCCACGGGTGAGGGTTCAAGTCCAGGTCGGTGGGGTCAGGTCAGCTCGGGTTGGTGGTGGTCAGGAGGAATGGGGGGGTGAGATGGGGGGGGGGGATTGCTCCTATTGTCAACGGCGGTTGTTATTGCCCACGTGGTGATGCGTCGACGCTGTTGTGGTGGTCACTCGTCGAACGTCAATAATGGGGGAGCTCGTTGGAGGTTGCCCATCCTGGACTTTAACATCCCTCCTCATCCTCCTCCTCCACGAAGGCACTGAAGGTTCAACCATCATCGTCAACCGCATCGGACCAACATCACCGGCCCGATAATGACGCCACATCTCCGTTACAGATGACGGTGCGGTTGTGGCCATGCGGGCAAAACTACGGACCGTACAGTGAATCCATGAGACGCAAAGACACGCAGAGACTCACAGAGATACACAGACACCCATCGAGACCCATAGAGACACTTTAAAGACAAGCCACAGCAGTGGACTTGTGGCCATGCAACTCACACTATGAACCATAGATTAAACACAGCGACACGTAGAGATACACAGAAACCCATAGAGACCCATAGAGACACTTTAAAGACAAGCCACAGCAGTGGACTTGTGGCCATGCAACTCACGCTATGGACCATAGATGCTACTCGCTGACAGCACTTGCCCCAACAGTCTGTGAAGGCTACACGGGGGATCTTTGTCTTTGTTTGTCGGTGGTGGTAGCGGGACTCACGCCTGCACGCCTTGCGGTCGGTGATGGCCTTGCCGAGGTCGCGGAAGAAGCCCTCCTTGCAGTAGTGGCAGTGCCGGCCGGCGGTGTTGTGACGGCACGTGAGGCAGACGCCTCCGCTGGTGCGTCCCGACAGTTTGTAGAGTTCCATGTTGAAGCGGCAGCGGCTCGCGTGCAGGTTGCAGCGGCAGGCTGGCGGCAGAGACGGAGGAGGAGGAGAGGTCACGGGGTTGAGCTTGCAACGGCTGAAATCGGTTGTCCAAACGGGTGGTTTATTGGGGTGAGATTTTTTTACTCGTCGAAATCAAACGCTCGCTGATAACGATGAGCGGTGGGTGTAGTCAGTTCCGGATGATCCCAGTAGCACAAGTAGCTACTACATATGTAGTAGTAGCTAGTAGCTACTATGTAGTAGTAGCTACTAGCTAGTAGTAGCTACTAGCTACTACTACATATGCAGTAGCTACGGGCCCCGCACTTTCAATGGTACCCGCGCGAAATGCTTTCAAGCTATCAATTCCGATTCAGTGATCTTGCACTTGCTCTATTACTATAGTACTATACTGCCTTCAACTTTTACGAACGACTGGGTGTTAAGGTTAGCGATTTGTCGTATTATCTGGCTGTAAAGAAAATGAAAGTTTTACAATTACTTTATAATGCCAGTTAAAAATGTATGTTTTTAATATTTAAGTGCTATTTTTTTTATTTAGGGCCTCTTTATAACATATGCTACAGGCCCCGCATTAGCTTAGTCCGGCACTGGGTGTAGCGGTTAGCACAGCGGTCGGGAACCTATGGCTCGCGAGCCATATATGGCTCTTCAAGTGACGGCATATGGCTCCCAGACAATTTTGAGTTGAAAAAAAAAATCAGTTTGGAACTGATTTTAAAATACTTTAATAAATTTCACGGGTCACGCCTGCACGAAGCTCAACCTCACCACGTATGAACCAGACTACAAGGCCATCAGCAAAACCATGCAGCACCAGAAGTCGCATTAAAAGTAAGATATTTTTAATTTATTATACGTTAAAAATACTATATGGCTCTCAATGAAATATATTTAGAAATATTTGGCTTTTATGGCTCTCCCAGTCAAAAAGGTTCCCGACCCCTGGGTTAGCGCGTTGTCGCTACTAACGCGGCCGCCACCCGAGTTCGACTCCTGCTCACAGCCACCACCACCACCTCCACCGCTACCCACCACTCGCATCGGTTACCGAACGGGATGATTAATTGGGTGATACTCACTCATCGATATCATCACCACCACCACCACTGCCAAATGATGATGATGAGCGGTGGTGTAACGGTTCGTGCGCCACCACCACCGTCATTATCGCTGCCACGGACACGACCACCATCGCCACCACTACTCGCCACCACTCACACCAATTAGCACCTGGTGCGTTGTGTAAGCATCAGCACTGGGGAGACAAAGGCGGCCGGGCCGTGCCGGCTATAATAGGTGCTACTCGTTAGGAGCACTCACCCCAACAATCTGTTAAGGCTATACGGGGGATCTTTGTCTCTAACCACTCACACCAAATACAAAGATGCCCCCTAATGCCTTAACAGGATGTGAAGTGGCGGTGACGTTACCACGATGCTTGTGCCACGTTAGGTGCAGACAAGCCGGCTGACGGGAGGAGGTCACGGGACAGGCCCAGGTGGTGCCGTGGGTTGACTGCTGTGCCAGGCTAGGTGCAGGAGGAGGAAGTCACGGGGCAGACCCAGCAGGTGCCGTGGGTTTGACTGCTGTGCCAGGCTAGGTGCAGGAGGAGGTCACGGGACAAGCCCAGGTGGTGCCGTGGGTTGACTGCTGTGCCAGGCTAGGTGCAGGAGGAGGAAGTCACGGGGCAGACCCAGCAGAGTGCCGTGGGTTGACTGCTGTGCCAGGCTAGGTGCCGGAGGAGGAAGTCACGGGGCAGACCCAGCAGGTGCCGTGGGTTGACTGCTGTGCCAGGCTAGGTGCAGGAGGAGATCACGGGACAGACCCAGGTGGTGCCGTGGGTTGACTGCTGTGCCAGGCTAGGTGCAGGAGGAGATCACGGGACAGACCCAGGTGGTGCCGTGGGTTGACTGACTGAGATGACAGGCAGATGCAGCAGCTGTGCCCCAGCACTGTGACAACTTGCTGCGTTTAATCCCAACCACACAACCACCACCACCACTCACACAACCACCACCACTCCCACACTCACCACCACAACCACTCCCACCACTCTCACACAACCACCACCACCACCACTCTCACACTCACCACCACTCTCACACTCACCACCACCACCACTCACACTCACCACAACCACCACTCTCACACTTACCACCACCACCACTCACACTCACCACAACCACCACTTTCACACTCACCACCATCACCACTCCCACGCTCATCACCACCACTCTCACCACCACCACTCTCACACAACCACCACCACCACCACTCCCACACTCACACCACCACCACCACCACACTCACACAACCACCACCACCACTACTCACACACTCACCACTCACACTCACCACCACCGCACTCACCACCACCACTCACCACCACCACTCACCACCACTACTCTCACACTCACCACCACTCTCACACTCACCACCACCACTCTCACACTCACCACCACCACACTCACCACCACCGCCGCCGCCGACTCACCGACGCACTCGTGGGCATCTCTGCTCGTGGCCCTCTGCCAGGGCCGGTCGTGGTGGAATGCTCGGCACGAGTCGCACTCGGGCCCGCCCGTGTTGTGGCGGCACTCGCACGCGGCCGCCCCGTCGCGGTCGCGGCCGCACCGCGACGCGTGCCCGTTGCAGCGGCAGCGGCCCCCGACTTGGATGTCGGCCACGCCGTGGTAGCGACTCTCTGGAGGCGTTCCGTCCGCCAGCTCGTTGCTGACGGCGCCGCCGCCGCCGGCTGTTGACCCAGGCGAGACGACGCCGCCGATGACCCCGCCGGAGGAGGAGGAGGATGATGATGATGCCGAGGACGATGACGACCCCCCGGCCAAATTGCTCCACGGCTTGACCAGCACCACCTTGATGTCGGTGGCCGTCACCCAGTCCTGCAGCACGGGGCTGTTGGCGAAATCGTTGGCCGACGGACGCCCGTCCAGCGTGCTGAATGCCACGAGGCCCTGGGACAGGTGCGCGTCGGTGCACAGCGCCTCCTGCTCGGTCATCTTGGTGACGGTGCCGCGGTGCGGCCGCCCGAACACGCGTCGGCACTGGCTCGAGTAGAAGTGGAAGGGCACCCACGTCTTGCCGCGGTCCATGGACTTGTAGATGGCGAGCGAGTCGGGCGGCAGCGGCGTGCAGAACTGGACGCTCACGAAGGTCACCTCGTACTTGAGGCCCAGAGGCACCACGAGGGTGACGTTCTGGCCGGGCGACAGGCCCGCCTCGGACAGCCAGCACGTGGCGTTGTGCGGGTTGTGGAGGTCGGTGAGCAGCGAGGGAGGGTGGGCGCCGCGCGGGTCGGACGAATCGCAGATGCGGCAGCCGACGCCGACGGATCCTCCTCCTCCTCCCGTTGCAGCCGCAGCAGCAGCAGCAGCGCCGGCGAGGATGTGGCCCCGGGCCATCGCCTCCGGAAGGACCCGAGGAGGATGAGGAGGAGGATGAGGAGGAGATAGAGGAGCAATACCTGCGGAAGATTGCGAGTGGGGGGACGGGACGTGGAAAGTGACTGCCGTGACGACGCGGATGACACGAGGTTGATTGCTGCTGCTGCTAGCTGCTGCCTCACCCCACTGCCGCCAATGCTGCGGATGTTACTCGTAATTGAAGATGACGATGATCTTGCTGCTGCTGCTGCTGATGCTGCTGCTGATGATGATGCTGATGATGATGATATTCACAATAAAGCACTGCCTTGGACGACCTGCCCGCTGCTGCTCGTGCGCTAGCCGCGACTCACGCTGCTGCTGCTGCTCCTACTGCTGCACGCGGCTGCCTGTAGCCCAGCACCGTGTGCGGAAGCGGCAGCGAGGGGTTGGTGGGTCACGCGCGCGCGCACACACAGAGACGTTGAGTGAAACTTTCTTTCCGTGGCTGTGACAGGAGAAGGCGGCACAAGAACGAGGCATTGGGATCCGCCCGTTCCATTTGTACGGGATAGAGCGTTGCCCCCTTGCACGCGAGGGTTTTTCTCCGGGTGCTCTGATTTACTCCCAAACGTAAACGTTCATTCAGGTGGCCAAGAACGCCTTCATGTATAGAGGACCGCAGAGCCTGGGGGTGGGATTTTGCGTCGGCGCTGCTGCTGCAGCTGCTGCTGCCCTTCCCGCTCATCTGTGCTTCATCGTCCTCCTCCTGGCGCCTCTGAGTCCTCCTCTCTCTCTCTGAGTCGTTCTCTCTCTCTGAGTCGTCCTCTCTCTCTCTCTGAGTCGTCCCCTCTCTCTCTGAGTCGCCCTCTCTCTCTCCCTGATTCGTCCTCTCTCTCTCTGAGTCGTCCTCTATCTCTCTGAGTCGTCCTCTCTCTCTGAGTCGTCCCCTCTCTCCTCTCTGAGTCTAATCATGATTATGAACATCAATGATATTCATTGTCGAGTCACGGCATATCGAAGTGGACTTCTCGCCATATCAGCCACCAGAGGCGCTCCCATTCACGTGCGTGTTGAACGAGCGCCGCTTACTGCTGCTGCTACTGCTGCTGCTACGCATCCTACTGCCCCCTACAAATACTATAGCTCGGCAGGGGAGCCGGGGGGGGGATCACGGGAATAGGATGGGGAGCGGTGGGGGGGGGCACGGGGAAGGGGGGAGAGGGCTCGCTAGTCGAAGGGGGAGCTCAACACCAACAGTGGGGGGAGGGGGTCGTCACCGGGAGTGGACAGTAGGGAGGAGTGTGTGGGGGGGGGGGGGCAAGGGGAGGGGTGGGGGCAAGGGGAGGGGGGGGGGCAAGGGGAGGGGGGGGGGCTCACCGTGACGGGGGGCTCCCGCACGTGCTGCTGGCGCGCGCCTCCATCTCGAACGCCGCGTTCACGAAGTCGGGGATGCAGCGGCGCGGGTGGCCGCTTTCGTTGTAGCACGGGTCCGGGAGCTACCGCCCGACCCCGCCTGCTGCTGCTGCTGCTGCAGCTGCAGCTGTAGCTGCTTCTGCTTCTGTTGCTGTTGTTGCAGAGAACGATTTGGACCGCCGGCTGATCCCCCCCGGGATCCTCCTCCACCTCCTCCTCCACCTCCTCCTCCTCCACCACCTCCTCCACCTCCTCCTCCGCCTCCTCCCTCTCCTCTCCGACGCAGCGGCCCCCCCATCCCCAACCCGGAGTTGGGCACCGAGGCCAGCCCCGGGCCGGAGCCCAACCCGGACCCTACGGACCCGCGGCCCGCGGCGGAGGAGGAGGAAGAGGAGGGACGCGCGGCCAGGAGCGCGCGGCTACTGCACAGAGCAGCGACGATGCAGAGCGCGAGAAGAGCCATGCCGGCCCCGTGTGTCCGTGTGTGTGTCAGTGTGTGTGTCAGTGTGTGTGTCAGTGTGGTGTGTCAGTGTGTGTGTCAGTGTGTGTGTGTCAGTGTGTGTGTGTCAGTGTGTGTGTCAGTGTGTGTGTGTGTCAGTGTGTGTGTCAGTGTGTGTGTGTGTGTGTGTGTGTCAGTGTGTGTGTCAGTGTGTGTGTGTCAGTGTGTGTGTGTCAGTGTGTGTGTGTCAGTGTGTGTCAGTGTGTGTGTGTCAGTGTGTGTGTGTGTGTCAGTGTGTGTGTGTCTGTGTGTGTCAGTGTGTGTGTGTCAGTGTGTGTCAGTGTCAGTGTGTGTGTGTCAGTGTGTATGTGTCAGTGTGTGTGTGTTAGTGTGTGTCATGTGTGTGTGTCAGTGTGTGTGTGTGTCAGTGTGTGTGTGTGTCAGTGTGTGTGTCAGTGTGTGTGTGTGTCAGTGTGTGTGTGTGTGTCAGTGTGTGTGTCAGTGTGTGTGTGTCACTGTGTGTGTGTGTCAGTGTGTGTGTGTCAGTGTGTGTCTGTCAGTGTGTGTGTCAGTGTGTGTATGTGTACTCTCTTTACCCCGATGTCTATCCGTGTCTCAGTATCTAAATATTCTCAGATTGATATCTCTCTCTGGCTCTCTCTCTGTGCCTGTCTCAATGTTGCCCTGTACGCGTGTCTGTCTGTCAGTCACTTATCAGTCGTTCTGCGTCGCTCACGAGATCTGCTTCTCCGCCAGTTTAATAGCTGCACCTTCCTTCTGGGTGTCTCCGAGTCTCGCTCAGTCGCCAGAGACGCGGCAGTCGTCCTCTGCAGTGGATATCGCTCGATTCGTTCTTCGCCGTTGCTGTGTCCGTCCGTCTCCCACTCCCCCCCCACCCCTCTCGCCTCCCGTCTCTCCCACCTCCCTCTCTAACCCCCTCCCCCACTCTCTCTCCTCTCTACTCCCGCAATATGCTACGTGCTGTTGTTTTCAGTCTTCTCTCTTCCTCCTCCCTCTTCCTCCTCTCTCTCTCACCACCTCTGCTCCGTGCTCAGCCCGGCACCTTAACGATTCGTGGCAGTGACTCCTGCGTGGGGGGTGGGTGTGGGGAGTAAGCAAATGACGTGAGAGAGAGGGGGGGAGGTCACAAACATCAGCGCGTTCTATATTTGCCCACTCGCTGAGCGCACAAGCGCACGCCGCAAACGGAGCGCACGAATCACCTCGCTGCCCGAATCTCGTCAAGGAGCACAAATCATCGACCCACGCGAGACTCCTCCGCGCTCATCATCCCTCGTGGCAGAAGCAGCAGAAGCAGCAGCAGCAGCGGCAGCAGCGACGGCGTTTTTCGGGTTCGGCCATCGAACAAAAAGATTTAAATTTCGATTTAAAGCTTTCGTGACTGCAGGGATTCATTTTCTTGGTTCTTTCGGTAAAGTCACGTAGAATGGAAATAATGAAATAATAAAAATTATCATAATAAAATAATTCTCACGACGTTCGGCCACAACGCAAGCAGCCGTCCTCAGGTGAAGAACAGGTCTGTCAGAAAGACAGCGTCTGAATGAACACCACCAGGCTTGGCAGCGTATATTAAGTTGGGTTGAAGGGGGAAGAGCGCCTTGACAAAGGAATTTGCATATCAAGATATGCTAAATTCCTCTTGATATGCAAATTCCTTTGTCAAGGCGCTCTTCCCCCTCCAACCCAGCTTAAATATACGCTGCCAAGCCTGGTGGTGTTCATTCAGACGCTTCTTTCTGACAGACCTGCTCTTCACCTGAGGACGGCTGCTTGCGTTGTGGCCGAAACGTCGTGAGAATTATTTAATTACGTTTTATTTTTATTCTTTTATTATTCCATTCTACGTGACTTTACCGAAAGAACCAAAAATAGATTTGGCTGCCGCCCGCACCGTCCAGGCAGATGCGTCGCTTCGGCGGCCGTCTGGAACGCTCCCTTCCTTTCCGATATGCGCAAGCACGCCGGGAGCTGTGGCACTTTTAAATCACCTGGGGTGACAACTCGCGTCTTTAGAACTGCCTCGTTGCGTTCAGTTTGATTCCGTTCCCCCGCACCTCCGATAAAGTCAACATGCACAGCACTACATTGCAGACGAGCAGTTTCAGCCATCATCACAAAGGTCACATAATTATAATTTAATATAAGGGGCCGTCCATAAATTACGTCACGCACCTGGGGGGGGGTCAGACATTTGTGACGATGTGTGACGAGTGGGGGGGGGGGGGGTTGATCAAAATGCGCAACTTTAAATAGATATAGAATTAATCTTCTTGGTTCTTTCGGTAAAGTCACGTAGAAGGGAAATAATAAACAATAAAAATTAAACATAATGCATTTACACTAACCTCTGCTGCTGTCTTGATATGCTAATTCCTTTGTCAAGGCGCCCTTCCCCCTCCAACCCAGCTTAAATATACGCTGCCAAGCTTGGTGGTGTCATTCAGACGCTGTCTTTCCGACAGACCTGTTCTTCACCTGAGGACGGCTGCTTGCGTTGTGGCCGAAACGTCGTGAGAATTAAATTTTATTTGTTTTATTTTTCATAATCAACGTTTTTGGGTTTAGATCGCGTTTATTTAAATGTGTCGTAACCCTCCACCACCCGACACGGCCAATCAGTAAAAAAGTGTCACGTTGACAAAGACAAATAGTTCACTGCTTTAGCCCACCGGTGTGTTGAAGCCACAACATTTACAATTTGAGTACTCAAATTGTAAATGATGATGATGATGAGGAGGATGATGAGGAGGATGATGAGGAGGAGGATGAGGATGAGGGGGGATGAGGAGGAGGAGGATGATGAGGAGGATGAGGAGGAGGAGGATAAGGAGCAAGGGGAGGATGCATCAGGGCGTCGTTGTCGCTCAGTTCAGCTCGGTTTATTTCGAAGCACCTTGCGAGCTATGGGACTCTTCAGTCGGCTTTGTTGTGGCTTCAACACACCGGTGGGCTAAAGCAGTGAACTATTTGTCTTTGTCAACGTGACACTTTTTTACTGATTGGCCGTGTCGGGTGGTGGAGGGTTACGAC